ATTCAATTCTTTATTATTTGCCTTAAACTTGTATACACTCGGTTATTCGTTGTCATGAGATCGTGACTTCTTAAGCGAAATGAAAGCAGCTGAAAGGATGATTTGCCATGCATTTTAATAATCAGTAATAAAGCGTCAGTCAAGTCTTATTGATAGACTTCTTTATTTTGAGGTCCATTATTTAAAATTATCATCATTATATACACGAATTTATAGCTTCTGATCTGACAGACGTTCAAGCCTTTGAGAGATATAAAGATCAAATACTTGTAAGTGCCACAACAATGCCAAATTCCTTTATTCAGTCAGAATACAGTGATAAGTACATTGATAATTTTTAATATAAAAGTTCTCTAGAGTCCAGAAAAAATATGTTACTTGTGCGGCAATAAAATAAATTCAGATAATAAAGTTTGAAACTGTAAATGAAATAAAACCATGGTTATGTAAAACTAAATTATCAAGAACCATAGAAACAAAAGGAATATGTAAAATTATAACGCATTGCAAGTGAATTAATTTGTGTTATTTACAACACCTCCAGGTTTATAAAAAATGAATCACTCAAACAGCAGGATGGTCATTTCAAATCAGTGTACCCGCGACGTTTATTGTCTTTAAGCTTTTGAAATGTTGTGAGTGTGAAATATTCTGTTTTAATACTGTTGCTTGCATATCCACCTGTTTATTAACGCACCTGTAATACCGAAATTGACCAACAAAATGCGCTTGAAATAACAATAACTCCAAATACACATAAATTGTGCGCGAGTTACTAGAGTTGTACCTTCTAACAGAAGGGGGACAAGATGGTTTATTTGTCAGTGTTTCAGTATAAACTAAAGAGACGGAACACAGAACTCATTTAGTTTCTAGATGTTTTTCACTGAACCAAGGATACTTGCAATAAACGAATTTCCGCACAGAACATTACCATCAAGCTAAGGACGAAATGCTCTATTGCTATTAAGACATCAATACGATATCACCTGAAATTTTCAAAACTTAGCCGAATCTACATCGTAGAACTTATCATCGGACGCTGATGTGTTTACGCGATGTCATTTGAGTCATGAATGTGGAATGTGCATTGCTTAAGACCATTCACAAAATTCAAAGATCCAATGGTCTTACACGCATTACCTGAAAATTCTACTGCTCGTTAGAACGATTGATTTGTAGGTTGTTGTATATATATGCTACGACATCATCTGGCTATCATGATGAGTTAGTATATGCTTGGTTATCAGATGGTGATGTTACTTTTCTATACTTTCGACAGTCATGTGACAGCTTTTCTGTCGGTTGATTAGAGGATCTGAGACCTTATTAATGTATCTAGTTATGTATTAAAAATCTTCAGAGAATCACTTGAATTGTTTGAGAGTTTGAAGGCCTTATTATGGCGTTCTGTAGATAATTCGGTATCAATAACCACTGTATCAGTTCGAAGATTGAATGAATGTGATTTAAGCAACTGAAGACGTAAAGCATTCGTTTTCAGGATGATGCGAATTTAACGGATTCATGCACATCCTTATTATATATCTAGATAATTTACTTCAAGCATCATATTTCAATTTACTGATGTCCCTGGAAGTATTGGAGGTGGAAAACAAAATGTTAAAGACCAGCAGGAAGAAGCAAATCAGAAAGTACTTCAAAATGTGTTGGTCGACGGATTCAGATACTGAGTAGTTTTATTCAAAAGAACGATAGCGACATAGATTGTACTTAACCCGTTTTGCTCCTAATGCTGCGAAAACAAAGTAGAATCATTATACTTATTCACAAGAGAACGGTATATGCTGTTAATTGTATTCAAACATATTTCCGTTCACTGTAGAGAGTAAATTCACATTACAATTTAATATGTCTTGATTAAAATTAGAATAGTGTAACAATAATGTGTATCAAGCAAACGATTACTTAACACTCCCTTCTTTACAGATGAGAAAAAATGAGGAGTTATTAGCACGTAAGCCTTTGAGTGATGCCATGCTGAGCCATCAATTCAGGCGCAAACATTGTTCAACATACGACAGCTGACTTTGAAACAGTCAAAGAATTTCAGCTCAAATCTCTGTTAGCTCACATTCAGTCTACGACCACTGCTGTCCTAAAGCACACGTAACATACTTGGGTTTCTGTTCATTATTCAGGACAATATGTTGCCGAAAATTGTCTTCATTGTGTCTAACAAGTTCAACTAAAGCATCGTTGAAGCCTGTCGGTACGTCAACCTGATAAAGCGGCATAGTAACTATCAGTATCTATGACAAAACACTTATTCACTGGGATTATTCCATATTAAGATAGCGCCTCATTGTTTCCAATCGTAAATTTCGTCCCATAATATTATAAAAGAAGCTTAGATCAATATTGAAATTGAAACTACATACCTTTTCAAATCGAGATCAAGACGTAATTTTTTTTTCGGTCGATTGCTTGGACGATTTCGCGATTCGCTTTTCGCATATTGTGTAAGGCTCGTGAATACCACAGTTGCTTGTTTTTAGTATTTTATAAAGCCTGGGTGGTCCTTTTCAAGAAAAAACTCCTAGTTTGGACCAGTCAACTCACATATGACTTGGTCTACTTTGATTTGTTTCTTCCAACTGAGCTAACTTTACTACATCTAGGAAGGTCAAAAAATATAAACAGGATATTAGAAGTAAATTATCTTGTTTTTCACCAACTATGTTATTAGATCCATAATGATCATATCATTGTTCACGCTATGTTTTTATTGTTAAAGTTAAAGTTGCTGAAGACACTTTTATCTAATCATTTACTTAATATAATATCTGTCTAAACCTCAATGTAGAGTCCCTAAGTTCCGAACTAATCTGGGTAACTGTCTGAAGATATTTACTGTTAATCGTAGACTGCTGATAAATGATTTAAGGCGTATTATTAGTTAACTGAAACGCAGTTGTGTCGAATACTGACTACCATAACAGTCACACCGCTCTACGCCCGGTCAATACCATCAAATTTTTGTTGCCATTTATTGCTACTTTCTAATACTGGAATCTAAACAGAACGACACCACACAAATCAACGATCCTGATAAGCTGAAGACTACAAAATGATTTTTGTGAATTTCGGAGTTGTGTGAATGATATTTAACAGTCCGTATTAGATGTAAAACCTGGTTGATATATAGTAACACAAAGCGTTCGCTGATCGATAGTTCGATGTATGGAAATTTTAAGTAATTTCGTCTTTGGTTCAGTTTTCAAGTACCTAGTCTCCAACGTCAAGTTATCAGCAGTCTTTGGTACTAGAGATTGAAATTTTCAGCCATTGAAATATATTACGCCTCAAAACGTAGAAAGGCGTGTAACTACCAATTGATGATCACTTACTAGTGACCAAAGAGATGCATGCGTAATCGTTCTTGATGCTGTTCTAATTCCTCTATGTATTCGCTGTCTGGTAGCAATCAACATTCGTAAGTCTTTTTATTGAAGATAGATAATGAAGAAGACAATAATTGATTGCGGGAAGAGTAGTTAGTAAAGGAGGTACCCCATGGCTCATGTTTCCGAAAGAGTATTGCGTACACAAATCTCAACAGTTGAACTTCTCGATTCGTCGTCTTTGGTTCTACATTTTAATGTTGGCAATAAGCATGCCGGTCTCACTAAAGAGACGGGAAGAACTAAACTTTAAAATCACATTCGATGTTTCCTGGCGATTCAGCTACAGAATTGATGGTAGAAAAAGTAATACTCTCATTGACAGTATCTGAAGAGATCTGTTCCGAAAAATAAGTTGCAGAAGGGCATTTATTCACTTCAATATGTCGAAGTTGATGTGTTTTATCTGTCTACGTAATTTGAGGAGGAAGAAAATCCTACATTAGACTTTACTCAAATGTCTTTTGTCGAAAGAAGTTGACAGTGCACAGTGAGAAGGTTTACACATAATTTACGCATGCATTTATATTTTACTATTGCTACTAAACTATGTCCCCAAGAACCTTGAATATTACATAAATATTTATCCAAATGCAATTTCAACATATCAATCCTAAAGTCGCTTACACTGAAACAACCTCATTTGCCACACAGTTATGGGTAAGTCACAAATATCAATGTCCAATCATCGTGAACTTGGCATCAGGTTTCTTTGATAGATGGCTCTCATCGTCACTTAACACAGATATGCTCAGATTTATGTACACGGAGTTAAAGAATTGTCAATAAGGATTTGACAATAAACTGAATATACAAAGTGATGAGACATTGATCGTTCATCCGGTGTCTTCATTTCATCATTCAATATATGAGTGAAACAAAGTTCATTGTTTTCATCTACAAGTATTTTCAAGTGCTCACTGATTATGTCTAGTGTATTTCTAAAATAAATTAAATAATCTGGTATTTGGTACAGAGTTTTTCATGATACATTGGTTCAAAGTTTATGAATAATCTGATCAGTTTATAATCAATACGTGTTTTGAAGTAATTGGTGTTTGAAGTTATAAATTTCGGTGATTGTTTTGGATTGTTTTTAACTAAACGTTTAGAAATATTGACGTGAGTTTGTAAGCTTTCATAAAATGATACAAATTGTCCGTTAACTTTTATGGTCTGATTTTATTCAGTCACTACTATGAACTCAAGGTTATCTTTCATATGCATAGATATATAGATAGATAGAAAGATATGCAGATATATATGTGAACAAATAGCTTTGTGAGTAGATGGGTAGATTTTCACTCATGGTCAAATGATTTCTGCTTGGAACGGTAGAAGAAATCAGTGTCAAACTAGTTTTCTGACTTATAGGACATGTTCATGAATCCATACCTGTTAAAATACAGTTGCAAGTGAAGTTAATGAGTAAGACTATTACATTTTCATGTCATCAATGTATTTACTTATCATTGTTATCTGTATCAAACGGTTCCGCCGATTCAATCGAAGATGGATTACATGATTATATCAAATCTGAATATTTCAACCATGATAACCAGGGCATTCGGTGCAATGTTAAAAGAGAATAACAATATTGTCTGTAACACTAAAAATTCGTGCATGTAAGTAATTCACGGTAATTTTAAAATAATCATTTCGCTTTACAGATTCAATGCAACTGCATGGGGTGATGCTCATCGTTTATCAAATATCGTTTTGATGTAAGTCATGAAACCTGGTTAACGTGGATAATATTATTTTATGTGAAATAATAAAGGATCATCCATTTAATAGAATGATCAATTATGACTTTCTGTTTAATGCACAATTCTTCAAACAAATATTGTAGACGGCACATCTGTAGGACGTTTTTGCATTTATCATCAGCGACTATTATCTGATCTTCGAGAAAATCATTTATTAAGCATTCTCATTTTTGAATTCTTCGATTATCTTTCAAATATATCCATAGAAAAATGTTACTTTCCTGCATTACTGACCAGATTTACCCCATATATTTTAAATCGTAACGTTCATGACTTTTTGCTACGTTCACTGTATACTTCAGTTAATTTTGTTGTTTGTTTTATTTTCATACTTCAGAATTATGGTTATAGTATTGGGAATCATCATTGTATTCACCAAAGTATTGCACACTGCGTATACAAGGAATACAATCATTTTGATTATAACCGTTAGTCAAACATAATTTTAAATGATGTTTATGATTGTGTTAATATATTTCCATTGAGTTACCATGAACTTATAAACGATTTGATCGTCGTTAGGATTCATTAGAGAACATACTGATATTCATGTGCTCATCTAACTAAAACAAATAAATTAGATCCATTTGTGAGTTAGGGATAACTGTGAAATAGATTATCGACAAATGAAGATGAGAAGTGAAAAGAAAAGAGGTTAAGTGCATCATAAGAGACTGTCCGATAGGTTGAATAAATGTTTGTTTCGAATTCCGTTTCGCATTGTAGTCATGTTGATGTAAACTAAATAAATTCAACGAATTCGAATTTGTTTTTCCCGATGCTTCTTCAAAGTTGTTATTTCACAATGCTTTTTCATCATTTGATGCTTCAAATAGAAGATTTATTCAACTGAGAAGGTTTCTCTGTACTCTCGTTGTTTTTAAATTTTTCATGAACACATCGAAATGATACAATATATATGCGAACTCTTTAGAGATATATCTTTCTCAATTGTCAAAAAGGTGAACGTGGATAAGGAACATTTAGTATAGATTTCAATGCAGGAACAGACAACTTGAAAATAATACATGATCAGTTATTTTGTAGTAATATTATTCGTTGTTAATACGTTTTCCTGATGAACATACTATAAACAGACTGGTTTGTTCCTCACTTTTCAGTGGATTATGATGACTATCGGCGTCGGATTATTGACTGCTTTTGGCGATTGGTTTCAACATATCATCGTGGAAATTGTGTCAGTCTCAACGTTGATGTTTTCCGTTCTTTCGAGTCCAAAAATGATAGGCCTTGATGAAAAATGGAGGATGCTGATAATTTCAGTTTGCTTAGTATTGGCGACCGCTGGAATTATTTTCAGCATTTCAATTATGATTTGGCCTGAGCATAAAGTACGTTTTCCGTGAAATATCAATTTCAACGTATAAAAAGTGATTACTGAATAGATTTCGTTTTTTAAGTATGGATTTCATCAAATAACCAACCATTTTGAGACATACAACACAATGAATATTTGCTGGATTTATCTGTTATATTATGAACGATGTTTTTGCCGGTTTATCATGCAGAAAAAGACATATTGAGAAATATTATACACACATTTTAAGACAGAAGTCACTGTTTCATTTAGTGAAAGAAGATTGGGTGCTTATGATAAACCCGCACTAGGGCTGTCATTATTTCATCTAATCATTCAAGTTCAGGCATTTTGGTTACAGTAAACATAATTAAAAGTACAGTTCTTTCTTTTTCAGACCAATCAATACGAACAAAAAGTAGAATCGCATAGTATCCTTATCGTGAACACAAAGCCTACAAAACTGTGATTTGAAACAATGCATGCTCATATTCATCCATTATAATAATTATTGAATAATGTTTTACTAATGCTACTCAAATATTCACAAAATGATATGAACTGAAAATTTATTCTAGATGCTGTTTCAAATTTTGTCGGGTGTTTGTTGGTGCAGTGCAGTGTTCATCGTAAGTTCCAAATGTACGGTTGAATTTTGATATATATATATATATATATATATATATATATATATATATATATCACTCTCTGTTCATTTTAAATTGTAAAATATCATACCCTACACTAAAACTTTAATTCTGAAATACATGCAACAATCATGAAAAGAAAACCAGTGTTTAGAACATCATCAGATGAACGCTTGTGTTGATTGCGTGAAGATTAGATAATGTTGTTGTTTAATTCTTTAACTGGATAAAGTCACAGATTATTTCATCGACCAGACAAATTACAGAGTGAATATGATGGTAACATATAAATCATTGTACAATGACTCCGTCAGTGGAGATTCCTTGTTCTTTTATTTAGGTGCTTAATTTCTTTGTTTATTGTGAGACTAAAGATGACTGTTTTTAAAATTACAGATGATTATACTTCCAACACACAATATGACAAAAAGTATCATATTGAAAGACAACTCTGTAGTTTAAATGACTTTTATACTTTCCGTGGAATGAATCATAATGATGATTATTTCATATACTCATGTCAAATATTTTCATTATTGTTGTTGTCTAAAATTAATTGCTCATTGAAATTATTATTGGCGATGTTCATAAATAAATTGCTTTTCATGAAATACTTTGATAAATATATACGTGTTTTTGATTGGATATGGAGCATAAATACTACGTCATCTCGAAATGTAATGTGATTGATTTGGTATTGATGATATCTCAGAACTGCGTTGTCGATAATTCTTGAATCAATAATATTATTGCATCTTTTCTGAACTTCAGTATTATGTATATTTTATCCAAAATGTTATCATCCGGAGATTACATAATGAGACGCTGACAGCGGAACGAGTTACTGCAAACGTTTTATTGACCACTTCTCCTGTCGATCATGAAATCACATCAGTAAGGACGATTAGCTGTTATAATGTTTCACGGTAAATTTTGCTCTAATGCCCTTAGGTAATACTGCATTATTGTCCATTGAGATCGTACTCATTCACTACTTTTTATATCTTTATATATATATATATATATATATATATATATATATATATATATCTATAAATGTAATTCCAAGAAACAGTCCTGATTTGTGCATGTACGTAGGCAAGCAAATGTTGTATGTGTATATGTGAATCACATGAGTCACATTGAGTCTAACTGATAAGAGCAGGAATACGTGAACTGTTGATGTCGGTCCCTGACAAATGATTCGAGCAACTCTGAGTGAAAAAATCTAAATCTAGTAAAAATAAACCGGTCTTCTTAATCAACAGAACAAGCAGGAAGCGCTTATAACGGTAACAGTTGCTATGGATGATAATCACCAGGAATCAGATGTCGAAAACTGAATCGCTTGCTTGTGGTCATGGATTACTATCTGTCAAAATGGACCGTCTTCAATTTCTGATTTTATTTATCTCCATATAATCTTTTTGCAATAAGCCTGATAAAATAATTTACAATAGGATTGCTTAGTATCACGATACAGTTCCTGTATTAAACGCCACAACCATTGAAGCCATGAGGAATAGTGTGCAGATAGTTTGCCTACGTTTGAGGACGTCATTTGGTGTTTGTATTTATTTCACTTGGCCCCAGCTCTAAAACAATTTCATCAATTAGGCAGTTTGGAGATATCATTTAACACAACTGAAGGTGTATTTTTATGCTACTTACATCACAAAATCTGAATTATCCACACTAGCAAAACGATTATGGTGAATATAAGATTGAGTGTACAAAATAATGCATAACAGAACATTCAAATCATCATAATAAAGAGATTTTATAATTTCCATGTAATTAGGAAACCAAGTTTATCAGATCAATGTTAAAAACTTGCAATTCATAGAGGCGTGTATTTCCTAAAAAAGTACTCTTGAGAATTGCGTACCAATAAAAATCCGAATAAAAGTCTACCTGATTACTGTCATTCTTGCACTTAAACGCTCACCCCATAAAATTCTTGGCTGAATAATTCAATGAACCATCGATTTCGCGTGACCATCATCAATTGTGTTGTGAGCAACAGCCGTCAGTTCAATAAGAGTCAGCTCAAATAATCACGATTGGTAAACACAAATCCGAGAATTCAACTAGGAATCTGCTAGGTATTGTGCACATGCTTACTGTTATTACCATGGAGATTGTTGACTTTCACTGAGATCATGAATACATCATCAAAGATTTTTCAACTGTCACGAACAAACTTATGTGTTTATGAAATCATGATATTAATGATGGACGATTACTCATGGATTATGTTTATCCTCCCATGAGATGTTTGGTTTATATGTAGTATATATTATTGCTACGGGTGAAATACTACATTATTTCATGCGATGTGTTGAGTGTAATTCAAGTTGACAACTTGAGCCCTACAGGTTGAATCATACCGTATTGACAGATGACTTTCCTTCTATTGCTTCAACGCCTGACCTCTAGACAATTAGGTCAATTTCATATCAACCACATTTGATGAATCGATTGTTGTGCAAGATCATGAAATGATTGAATTGCAAAACTAAAAACGTTCAGCTTCGTCACAGTAATCTACAGTTCGAAGGTTATCGTACGAAACCGAAAGTTCTACGTAAGGAGTGGTTGTTACGGACTGGTGTAATGATCTATGTCATAAGTAATCGACTGAACAGAGATATCATTTTATCTTTGATGGATTAAATAAAATCCATTTTCAAATTAAACCGTAGAAATTAGAAATAGGAACATTGAATATCTTCATTAATCTAAAGAAAGTGTGAATAAAGTAATACCAAGGTCAGACACTCATAATAACGAGATCCTGTATTTAACTGAATAAAATATTTGTTACACTGATTGAATTTAAAGCAAGTTTGAATAAAAACAACAGGAATAATTACCAAATAAAAGATCGAATGATTTACTTACAAATTTTTCAATTTTAGTGAATATCACAAAAATATCATGAGTAACCTGAAATCAACAAAAAATAAAATCGATGAAAATAGTGAATATGATTAAGCTTTGTTTAACACAGATGTACCATCAAATAGTTAATCGATTGAAAGTGATTATATAAAGTTGTTAGTCGAAAGATTCATGTTTAACTAACAGCGAAGTGTTAGCTACTCAGAACAGGAAATAAGCGGAATAGTTGACTAATAACTGAAAACAAAACCAACAGACGATCCCTCGTTATTACAAGTACTTCATTTTAACACATTTACTTGAGCTGAACTTAGGTTGACTGCGTATAACTACTTCAAGTGAAAACTTAGTTCATAATAAATATGGTCACTCTGATAGGAAGATAAATTGTATTCAAATGAAGATGATAGGTACTTAAAACAAGACAAGTTAGTTACAGCTCCATAAACAATCTGAGTACCACAATCGTACAAGAGGTTCATTTTGGCTCAAATTACTCTCACCATGATTTGAGTGAAATTCGGTAGTAAACACAGAACAGCTGATCATCATCAATGATATAACTTTAAAAATA